AAAAGGAAAACACTTCATCAGAGACCAAGCCGGTATACAAAATTGTGTTAATTTAAAAACCCATATTGCAATAAATTGCTATTCTGAGTCTAATCAACATATCCCCCCAACTCTTAAATAGGATAATACAAATCCTCCTCCTCTTTCCCTTTCTTTAGCCATTCTATCTACGTATTACCTAAATAAATATATACACGTGGTCTGACTCCCCCTCTATTGTGATCTAGATCAACGTTACCTCTTGTATATTATCTTACTATTACCAATTCGCTTCACCTACCTTACCCCTTTAAGACCCGTAAATAACCAAAACTGTTTCATATGTGAATATACCCATACTATGAAACTATACTACCACTCATATATATAACCTACTTCCATTCTTTTAGTGCTAAATAATATCAAATTGTGATTGTTGTGATCAAAATTTATATTACTACAAATACAAATCTCCAAACTTCCTCACTATCAAACTTCATAGTAGGAGAAGGGAATTAATAATATCTCACTGTGCCAATTGTGTTCTAAACACTTTTAATACAAAATATGTGAAAAATATGTGAATAAAATTTACATATATTCTTTATACCACTCTTATATTTTCCAATATGCCGCCTTCAATTACCAATCAAGGATATAGCATAAAAAGTTTCCAATCACCTATATAAGTAATTATATCGAACAGAAGAGAATAAGGAAAGAGAGGCACCTTAACTCAAAATAGTATATAATAGCTATCTATTATAGCATTATTATATAACTTCCCAACCTTATATCTAGTTAACGTTGCCTTATACCATGACTTGTATCCAGCCCCTCATGAAAACAATATAGAAAAACCTTTCCCCTCTTCTTTTCTTTTCCTTCTTAACTTGCAAGTGTTACCATATGTCCTTATCCAAAAGCAAACATTCTTAGCTTTAGGCATAGCTCCGCCCATTGGACTTGAACATTCACTTTTCTAATCTAACTTCATAATTAATTCCTATAAAAGAAGAGAGAGAAAACAGAGAAAAAAAAAAAAAAACACATTCTTTCTTTTCTATTCTTCTTTTCTTTCTTGTAGTGGTAGTGGTTTATCGTTATCTAGTACCAAAAAGATGATCATTATTTCAAAAACATAATAAATAATCAGTGTCATATTCCAGGTAGATGATCGTCATTTGGTCGACTCAAGAGGATAGCTACTGTAAGTTCCAAAATTGGATTTTTTCCTGTGCCGCCGAAACTTCTTTAAAAAGAAATTGTTGATTTTGGAAGGATACCAATAATGCTGTAGGGAAGCTCCACCTATATTTAATTCCGTGCTTCCTCAAAATGCTGGTCTGGGCGGCGAATTTCTTCCTTGCCAACCTAGTCATCAAAGAAAGATCTGAATATAACTTGATGTCTTTAAATTGAGGATCCGTTGCAAAGTTTTTTTGTGCCGACAGCATAATTGAATTTTTAATATAGTTGTTAGAAAAGCAAAGAATAATATCCCTAGGTATGTCAGCCGACAAATTCTTTGGTCTGCGTAGCCTATGGTATCGCTCAAATGGGAATTCTCCAAGTGACAACTCAGGCATTAAGTTTTGAAAGAAAGATTTTAAAAATTGATCTAATTGATCATAATTAATAGATTCGGGCACTCTTCTCAATTTTATGTTATTCCTTCGAGATCTATCTTCCAAGTCAGTAACCTTTGTCTCTAGTGCTTTAATCTTCTCGTCCAATTGATTATATTTTAAAGTTAAATCTTCATTAGATGATTGAATTTTTTGGAGAGTATCTGCCTGATTTTGCAATATAGAGGATATGTTGGCTATTTCCAGCCTTAATATCTTGGAGTTATCTTCCAGATCATGTTTAATTTCAAATATAGAGCTTCCAAAGCTTCATCAAGAGTTTGCTGGTTAGTATATTGGAGAGTTGCCGGGAAGGATTCTGGGTTTAGTGAGGCTGAATCTCTGCGATCTCCCAAAGATGGTCGTTTAATTAGTGATCGCTCTTGAGATTTAGGTGAATAGAAGGAATTTATGTTTTTACTTTTATCCATATTAGCCGTTGTTACCTTGTCTTTATCCTTATCTCTTTTGGGCGACATGTTAACCTTCTCCTTCTATTCTCCTTTAAAGCAACACCTCTTTAAAGCAATCACAATGCTTCTTAAAAAAAAAAAAAAAAAAATAAAAAAAAAAAATTTCTCTTAGCTGAGAAATATTAAAGATCGTCTTATAATAAGCGGTATCAAAAATTACTGCAGAATATTTAATTGCAGAGAGTTATCTCCCTCCAGCTCACTCTCCTACTGTGTTTTAACTTCCAAGTTTCTACAGGTTTCAGTCCCCACAGCTAATAATCCTCTCAAGAGTTCAATCCTTGAGGCGACGCCCAGAGAAAGTTTTAATTGTTAACACAATTTTAAGCACCTCAAATTGGAGCCTTGTTTAAATATAAATTCCTGCCTTTCCCAGAAAAAAGAAAAAAAACAAAACCAAAAACAGTTTTGAATCTGCCAGTTTGTCTCACCATTTGAGACTGTTGTAATTTTGGCTCACTCTCAGGAAGTTGCAACAATCTATCCCGGTAGTAAAAATAGTTACTATTAAAGTTCTCTCACAGCATGATATAGAGTTCAGCATGTAACACAAATTTCCACCGTCATTGCTTGACCTTGAGTACCTTAGGTCATAAATCATAGGCAGTTCAGCAGTTCGGCAACGATCAAAACACAGCCGCAGACAGCAGACAACATAACACTAACTGCAACAGTAGAAATGTGGATCCAGCGGCTGTAGCGTTGGGTCCCGACATTACGCCGGTCTTATGCCGGTCTTATGCGCCGAGCGCCGCTTCTCCTCCTCCTCCTCCTCCTCCACCGGAGTTTCTCGGTCACGGGAGCGCGCGCGCACACGTGTCACGTCATCACCCCCCTGTTCTCCGTTTTATAGCATTTTTGAACGTTACAAGGTCAAATATATGGTTCAAATATTTTTACATTGAAAATGGCCAGATTGGTTAGGTTGCCTTTGAGAGCGTATGGTAGCCCAGGAATGAGAATTACCCCCATGATGGCATACCATTTGCAAAAGAAGACAACCCAAGGTATTGCAAATGGGGTATGTCCAGTCTTTTTTAGTAACCACTTGGTCACAAACACTGGCCAAAATTAGCGTTCAATTTAGTTTTTTTACTTTTTTCACACACAAACAAATATGAATGCTTACTTTGGCCAGTGTTTTCGACTAAGTGGCTACTAAAAAAGACTGGACATACCCCATATTGAATACCCTGGGTTGTCTACTTTAAAAAAAATATGTACATGTGGGGTGTTATTCAGAGATTTATGACAGATAATAGTGTTACAATGTCACTATTGATAAATTTTAAAAATTTATGTTTTGAAACCGCAATATCCTACTTGTACCTATAGCCCTATAACATGCAAAAAAAGCAAAAAAGCACGTAAACACTAGGTATTTTTAAACTCAGGACAAAATTTTGAATCTATTTAGCAGTTTTTTTCATTCGCTTTTGTAGATGAGTAAAAGATTTTTCAAGTAAAAGTCAAAAAACATGTATTTTTTTCAATTTTTCATCAGATTTTTTTATTTTTTTTAAATTAAAATACATGAGATTATATAAATAAAGGTATGTAAAGAAAGCCCCTTTTGTCCTGAAAAAAAAATATATAATTTGTATGGGAACAGTAAATGAGAAAGCGGAAAATTACAGCCAAACACAAACACCACAAAAGTGTAAAAATATGCCTGGTCGCAAATGTACAACATCGCAAAAACAGTCCAGTCCTTAAGGGGTTAAGTAACGATGTAGTCCAGGCACTCAGGGTCTTTATAAAGCAGCAGATTTATAGGTAAACACGGCAAAAACAGCAACGTTTCGATCCACAATGGGATCTTTGTCAAGCTTGACAAAGATCCCATTGGGAATCGAAACATTGCTGTTTTTGGAGTCTTATGGAATTGGGGTCTGCCAGCCCTATGTACAGTGCACCAAGGTCTACAAGTGATGAGAGTGTGGATCCCTCCCTTGTCTGCAACCAGCAATTAAGTAACGTCATGACCAAGCCCTTGCATATAAAGCATTGAACAATCATTGATGTAAAACGTATCTAGGTGGCATTACTAGGTGGGATCTTATTATAATAGGAGGGTATAGAGGTAGGATTTCTTACAAGAGGAGAGAACAAAGGTGCTCGAGTGCCAGGTGACATAGTGGCATGATTAGGTGCAAAACGACGCATGTAATGTGCTTGCAATGTGCATTAAATAATAACAAGAAATGGAAATAGGGGGATATTTTTACATTAATCCTTTCAATGCTGGAATGTTAGCGTAGGAAAGCATTGGAAAGCTAGTGCACATGCATGACAAAATGCTGCACAGTGCCAGATTACCTATTTTACTCCAATATTTTACTGAAGCACCTCTAGTGGCTGTTAGTATGAAAACACTGCAATGACTCTATTGTTGTTCATGCAGATCGGCAATGTGTTGAGCTGCACGGTTAATACTGGGGGCAGATGGAACTTCAATTAATTCATTGAAATTACATGGTCTGGGTGCTTAAAGTGTTCCTTTAAGTCTCCTGTGGAAAAAACCCACAGAAGAAAATTTCTATATCCCATTATAATGACATAAGCTGTCATAGCTCTCATTACCCAAATGACATAGTTGACCTTATATTCCTCATTGACTGAAAACATAAATATCACACTTATAACTCTAAAATAATAATTTGAAAATAGGCACTTTTGTTCAGCAATACATATCAAAATGCATAAAAAGCATTTTTCATGCAAAAAAAAAAAACAAATCCACTTCAGTCTGACACAGTACATAGAAAGACTATGATATCTATCGGTAAATATTTAATTTCAAGTAATATAAAAGTCAAACATATAGTCGGCCATATGAGTTTACAAATAAATACATTTAAAAACAACTCAAGCTATGTAAATTAAATAAAAGCATTTAAAAGCTTTTTAGTGAACAATGCTTGTGATGGACTACGACTTTGATTTAATAAGCTTTCCAAAGGATTACACAAAAAAAAGAAATACACACACTGGCAGTAATGTATACATGACTGCAAGGTTATATAATCATACCCCGCAGTTGTGTATAAATTATTAGCTAACTATAATTGCTAACTAAATTTGTTTATTGCAAGTTAATTTACTTTGAAATTATGCCATAACTACGGTTGGAGAGCTCACAACACAGCTGCACAGGGATCCGCGACACTGAACAATGAATAAATAGGGTAGCTCTCTATATCCAGCGCTGCAAGCTTGTCTTTCAATAAATCTACAGCACCTTATACACACAATGCAACCCCTATTTTTTTTTTTCCACTTTGGGTGTTTGTGAGGTCCCCACTAACTCTAGAGCCGCCACTGTATATACCTGCATTATCAGGTTTATGTTTTTATTTTATTTTAAAAATATGTTTCTGAACGGATATTACATGCTAAATTACTTAGAAACTCAAATAGAAAACATGCAAAGCCAATAAATAATAAGATGTCCCAAAAGGTAAATGAGATTAATTAATTTAAAAAACAAAAACAAAATACATTAGATTTAATAAATGCAGGACTACAATTGGACAAACAAAACAAAATATATTTTATTTTCTATTAAATGTTTGCACATAGTGGTTAAAAGTTAAATAATGTAATCATTTAGTTATAAAAATTAAGCAGAAGAAGAGATTAAAGGGAACCAGTGATGGAAAAAAGCTACTTTAGCTTTTTAAAAGAACTTGAAATTCCATCTCTGCAGTGTGCTAGCAGTTTTTTTTTTTTAAAGCAAATGTATGCAATTGGAGAAAAATAAAAAAGTAAAATGTAAATGTAATGTAAAACTAGGTTTTTCATATCCCATTGTACAGCGCTACAGAATGTGATGGCGCTATATAAAATAAATATGTCTTTCAATTCCTTGGCAGTTGGGACGTCAATCTGTTCCGATGCAGACAATTAAGTTAGAATGTCATGGAGATTTACCATACTTGGGGAAGTGTCCCCAGGCAAGGAAATCAGACAGAACAGAGGTGGAGCACAGGTGGACAGGAGGTGGGTCACGCGGGGTAGAGGAGGGCCATCACAGTTTTCCGTTAATAGTAATTTAAAAAAAATAAAACAAATAGCTGGTCTGCTAATAATGCCTCTAAGTCTGATCGGTATGTTTCCGTTTGAGGGAAAAATTATTCTGGTCAGCTTTAGATTATTATTATTCATAAAGCGCCAAGAAATTCCATAGTGCTGTACAATCAGTGGACTAACCGACATGTATTTGTAACAAGACGAGCTGGAAGCACAGAACAGAGGATGCGGATGGCGCTGCTCCAACGGGCTTACATTTAGATCAGGGCCGGATTAACATAGGGGCTGATGGAGCTGCAGCTCCAGGCCCATGGAATAGGCCCATTTAAAAAAAAAAAAAAGCTTTTTTTTTTTTACACACTACTCTTAGTTTTGCCACCTGACTGGTATTTTACTGGCACAGCCGGTATTTGAGGCTGCCTGGCCATGCCGGTATTGCAGTAATACCGGCAATATAAATGCAGGTATTTTTCTCAGAATAAATGGAGATTACCCTACAATACCAGCACCAGCCAGTAGGGGTCACTGTGTGTGGAGAGAGGCAGGGATAGGAAGTTACAGAATATCCCTGCCTCTCTCTACTACTTACTGATCTGTGGGGGAGCAGCTACACAGCACAGAGTCCAGACAGCAGCTCTACAGCTCAGGTAAGTGAGGGATGGGGACACTGAGACACTAGGGGACACATGTGGACACTGAGACACTAGGGGACATATGGGGACACTGAGGCACTAGGGGGTACAGACTCTAGGGGACACATGGGGACACAGACACTAGGGGACACTGAGACACTAGGACACATGGGGACACATACACTGGGAGACCTGGAAACACTTGGGGACACTGGAAAACATGGGGACACTGAGACACTAGGGGACACATGGGGATGCTGAGACACTTAGGATGCTGTGAGACATTGGGAGACACTGAGACATTGGGACACAGAGACACCATGTCCCCATTTCTCCCAGTATCCCTATGTCCCCCATCCAGTGTCGCTAGTGTCTCAGTGTCCCTAAGTCTCCCAGTGTCTGTGGCCCGTGTCACTCAGTGTGCCTAGTGTCCACATGTGTCCCAGTGTCCCTATATGTCCCAGTGTCCCCATGTCTATGTCCACAACTGTCCCCAAGTCTCCCAGTGTCCCCAAGTCTCTGTGTTCCTAGTGTCTTAGTGTCCCCAAATGTTTCAGTGTCCCTATGTCTCCCAGTGTCTGTGTTCCTAGTGTCCCCATGTCTCCCAGTGTCCCTATATGTCCCAGTGTCCCCATGTCTATGCCCACAACTGTCCCCATGTCTCCCAGTGTCCCCTAGTGTCTGTGTTCCCATGTCTCTGTGTCCCTAGTGTCTTAGTGTCCCCAAATGTTTCAGTGTCCCCATGTCTCCCAGTGTCTGTGTCCCCATTTCTCCCAGTTTCCCTAAATGTCTCAGTGTCCCCATGTCTCAGTGTCCCCGGGTCTCAGTGTCCCCATGTCTCTCAATGTCCCCATGTCTCACTGTGTCCCCAGTATCCTAGTGACATTGGGACACTGGGAGAAATGGGGACACTGAGACACTGGGAGACTAGGGGACTGGGCGACATGGGGACACTGACACTGTGATACATAGGGACACTGAGACACTGGGTGACTTGCGAGACTGAGACACTGGGAGCAATCCATCTATACAGCAGAATCGAACTGTGAGTAGTTTGTTGGTGATTTTACAGAATTTTCTCTTATGTCACTCCTTGTGATTATACAAATGATTAAGGCTGGTATTTTTTTTTTCCCAAGAAAGGTGGCAACCCTAATGACTCTTCACATACTCTTGCTTAAAGGAGCACTATAGGGTCAGGAACACAATCATGTATTTCTGACCCTATTATGTTAAAACCAACACCCTGGCCCCTTCTTGCCTCCCTAAGTATAGTAAAATATAACTTGTATTCAAGTCTGCAGCTGCTGGCTCTGCCTCTGAATTCACTGTCTGCTGACATCATCAGAAGTGGTGGTCTGAGCAAATTACAATACTTCCCCATAAGATTGGCTGAGACTGTCAACTAGGCAGATCATGGGCAGAGCCAGCACAAGTCCAACATAGCCCTGGCCAATCAGCATCTCCTCATAAAGATAAATTGAATCAATGTATCTCTATGAGGAAAGTTCAGTGTCTGCATGCAGAGGATGGAGACACTGAATGGCAGTGCTGCACACTAGGCAGTACTGCCCCAGGAAGCACCTCTAGCAGCCATCTAAGGAGTGGCCAGTGGAGTTATTTTCTCTGAAAAGACAGTGTTTACTGCCAAAGGCCTGAATGGAATGATTCTACTTACCAGAACAAATACAATAAGCTGTGTTCTGGTGACTATAGTGTCCCTTTAAGTTTGGAAGCTTAAGATGGATGTATGGGAACACAACTTGTGTGGACTAGCTGACAATATTAGTTTAGGTAATGCAGACGCTGGTCTCTCTAACATTGTGGCATGTCCCCTTTTTTCTACACTCACTACATACACCTTTTCTCTGTCTCAGACTATATAACAGGAACTTCTGCCTGCTAGTAAGAAGGCAAGGAGACAAGTGGACCAGCGAGTGCTAGGGGACAGTCCTTAGAAAACACGAGTGAGCGAATCATTAGATGCATTTATGTAAAGCTCATGGTGCTGCCTGCATAGTATGCACTTAGTTGGACAGCCTGCAGGATTGGCGGGCAGCCTGACATGCATTCATGCCAGGCTGACCTTCCAATTCTTTGGACAGACATGCCCCCTTTTTGGGCATGTTCTCCCCTTTTGGCAGGTCTGGTCACATGATTCGCACCAGTGGCCCACCCTTTTACCCCACCCATTGATTTCCTGCTTCACTGGACACTGCTGTTAGGGGTTATGGATTTACTTGAAAGATGAAAGCATAAATTAGAGAGATTAGCATAGAGCATGTGTTTTTGTATAGCTGCATCCTATGAGTTTCCCTCCAGCACCATCTCCATCAGATACATGACGCTTGGGAGGTATGACTGTTTTAGTGTTTTTGGTCGATAAGATTCCGTAATTAGGCCCATCATATTTGTCAGCACCAGGCCCAGTGTGCTCTTAATCCGGCCCTGATTTAGATGATCTAATAAAACATATATTGGATACTAAAAAGATTATCCCTCAGTAAAGGAGTTTGAAATGGAACAAACCTTTTCAGCCCCACTTACTTGCACAATTATTATATATAGCTTCTTTATTTAGCAAATCAGATATAAAAGGGAAATGAAAAGGCCAGTGCATAATTTTTTTTATCAAAATGACAGATATATTCTGATTCAAAGTAGAACAAGGGACCCTGAAAGTGCTTCTTAAAGCAGGACTTGACAAATTTGCTGGGAATATAAGTGCCAACTAAAAAAAGTTAGGAGCCACGTTTGTTTTTAAACTAACAAAACTTTATTTTAAAGACAAATTTTTTTTCCATTATTCAATTCCATTACAATTTAAAGGGATACTATAGTGCTAGGAATACAAAGCTGTCTTTGCCTCTCCCACTCCCCAGTAAATAAAAGTGTTAAAAAACGTATTTACTTACATGATCTCAGCACCGATGTGCCTGGGCACTGGGTCAAAGCTACTCCTCGGTCCCGTGACGAGCGGGCTCTAATGCGTGCGCATTAGACCTCCACATCGGCAAGCTATGGTGAAATATCTGACGCTTGAGGTCCTCACACAAGGCGTGAGGACGTCCAGCGTCAGATACTGGACTAAAGATATGTTTCAAACCAGGAAGCCCTCTAGTGGCTGTCTGGTAGACAGCCACTAGAGGCTGACTTTGTGCTGCAATGTAAACATTGTAGTTTCTCTGGAACTAAGGGCAATAGGGACACTGTACCCAGACCACTTCAATGAGGTGAAGTGGTCTGGGTGCCTACAGTTTCCCATTAATGTAGTGGATCTGGTGTCTATAGCCAGTTCCTGCAGGCTTTAGACTTAGACGGCTACGAGAGGTGCTTCTTAGTCCAGCGCCTGTATGCTCTGCGTGGAGGGCTGAACATTCCCCAATGAGATGCACTGATTCAATGCATCTCTACGAGGAGATGCAAATGGTCGCTGTGTGGCATTTTGATGCTCAACCTTAACCTCTGTATGTTCCGAATTTCATAGCACAATGCTGCACATACAGACTCCAACCACCATGACCACTTCAAATCACTGAAGTGGTCATGGTGCTTGGAGTAACCCTTAATTTGAAGAGCTAGATAGATCAGCCCCAAGGCTGACAATTATTATACCAGAGTTAATGTGAATGCAGCAGGAATGAGTTCTAAATTCTTTAAATTTCATCTACAAGTAAAACATCTCCCAACAAGCAGATCATTAGGGATCTGTCATACATTTACTTACCTACTGCCCTCTCATTCAAGCACCACCGTCCTGCTAATCACTGACATCCAGGTTTACCTCCTATGTACAATGATTGGGTACACTTCCCAAAATATGTAATTCCTCCCTAATAATATTTACTGCCAACACATCAGGGTACATCAATTCACTCCAACAGACTTGCTGGGGGAATATCTGTGATATAGAGTGGGAGAACCACTTAGAATAGGATTTTCCTGCTCTTTCCTGGCTGCCATTCCAAGCAGGCCACAGATTTATGCCACCTTCATATAGAAATATATGCCGAGAACGCACAAGCTAGAAAATTAAAATGCATAGCTGCACTGTGATGAATCAACAATACATCATTGTTTTTACATAAATCATTAGAAAGTTATAGGAAGCAGTTAAATTGATCTATATGACTAAACGCAAATACAGTGTCTCAGTGTAAAAAATATATTTCCTTCTATTTTGTTTTCATTGGTACTTTATATATTGCAGAATTGGTGTGAACATATCAGTATCGTAGTACACTGTATTTCCTAGAAAGGCATCCAGCTTCTTTAATTGAATTCTGTTACATGCTATGCTTGCATTTTAATTTGCCTGATGGTTAAATGGGCACTATGGCGTGTATGTGATGTTGATATTTAAGGGTGTTTATTTTCTTGGCCCCCCCCACGGCAATGAGTTTGAACGTAAGTGACAGAATATTAAAAGATTGGATGTGAAAGAGAAATTGTCACATCCAGAGAAGAGACAATTCCCTTGTTCCTTAACCCCAATAAACAACATTGCAGCTTTTAACAGGGTTAATTGAGCAGCGAACAGAAGTAAAAAAACTAAACAAAAAACCTCCACTGAACTTCTTTGTTTTGGCCATAATGCCTCAGACACATGCATGCAAATGTGGGCACAGCATTCAGTGAGATTATGGAAAACTGAAAGGTTTACATACTAGGTCGGTCACATTTTAAAACCAAAACCAATAGTTAACTTTTAATAATGAAGTGACAGCTTCTCATTAACTAGCCTTGTGCTGTGCATTTTTACACTTCATTTATGTATGAATGCATGTTAATATATAAAATATTAACAGTTCTCTGAATGTGCACCCATTAACGAAAAAGGGGTTTGTTTTCAAGGCACTGGAGAGTCCTTTTAAAATATATGTTGCATCCCACCAGTGACCTTAAAGGAGCACTATAGTGCCAGCAAAAACAAACTGGTTTTCCTGGCACTATAGGGTTATTAGGCCCCCCCAAAACCTCCATCCTGCTGGGCTAAAACCCCTTCAGCCACTTACCTTAATCCAATTCACCTTAAAATCCTTTGGATAGCATAAACAAAATAAAATATTTTTTTCTCTTTGTAATAAAGCATTACTGGAGCCTCTTGGCTCAGTGGAATAAACCCCAGTGAGCTTACTTTCAAATACCTTTACATTCCAAGAATAAGATTAGACTTAGATAGTTCACTTAAAACTGCAAAGTAACATAGCAGTGAGGGAAAAGTCTGATCTCCATGAGAAATTCCAAGAAGATCCATATAACAAAAATTAAAGGAACGTCTCATTGCATTGTTTTTAATGGTGGTAAAGTCATACATTTAATACCAAGATAATAGTCGTTTATCCATTGCCCACTGTAATTTCACTATCTGCCAAATTATAAAACCAATATAATTACTGCTTCACTCATGAGGTTTAAAGAGGAGGAAATTAAGGATACATATCTAAAGTAATTGAGAGAGAATAAAGCAGTTGAATAATGCCCAGTACTAGAAGACCAAGGTTAACTAGGATCAGATAAAATAAATACAGCCTCAAATAAATAGTTTATCTAATTATTTCTCAAAATGAAAGAAAAAAAAATATATAAATTAAAAAAAATAAAATAGGAAAAATAAAAATCACAGACAAATTAAGTATAACAAATTTGTGAAACCAGTTTGCAGATTTCACAATAAAACAAACTAGAGCATCAAAATATAATTAGTCACTGCACACGCTTATTCCCGTGGTAGTATTCAGTGGGATGTTTTACGGTTGTTAGTGGTGTGTACTGTCTCTTTAAAGAGTTTTCGTTAATAAATCATTTAAAGAAACCAAAAAAAAAAAAAAAAACAGTCACTAACTTCATCTTCACGATTTGGGTGCAACACCAAATGGGAGCATTTTTTTTTTTTTAAAGATCTATTTAAAGCATTAATGTGTGACGATTCAAATTAAAAATAGAAAATACATTTTAGTTGTTCAAAATTGAAAATGATAAGCAGTCCATGGGAGTGGCCGGTCTTGAACAAAGATGAAAATAAAAATCAGTGCACATATGATTGTTTCAGAAAAAAACAAAAGAAAAAAAAACAAGGAAAATTTAAACAAGTGGTTTTAAAACATCAGGGGGTTTCAGCAGCTATTTTGACTTTCTGGTCTGCTGGACTGTTAACTGCATCAGGTTTATATCTGTACTTGTATCCATAAGGACGGAGATGATGGACCATATATTCTAACTGGTACATGGTTCTTGAGTCCACGTAGTGGAACGATACGGCCAGGTCAGAGCAACAGCCAGGACCCTATGAGACAAACAATGAAGTGAGTATAATAATACCATACAGTCCAGTCTTACCCATGAAGGGTTTAATAAACAGATCACAGAGACATTTTTTGATTTGCTCAAGTACAGTATATGTATAAGCAAAGCACTTATATAATCATAGACAAAGTTATCCTAATGCAATATCATGTGATTTACTCAAACATTCCTTCATTGTTCATGGTGCAGGTAAGATATATGCAGGGTTTTTCAAATGTAGTAAAAACCTATTTTACAGATGATTTCAGAATCCATTTTTACAAAGTTAACATTAGGTATACTCTAAACCAGCGTTTCCCAATTGCTGCTCCGCGGAGAACACAAATGGGGTTCTGCTGCAATAATCAGGAAACAAAATGGGCACTGCTGATAATTGAGACGGGCGGTGAGGGAGCACTCTCCCCTACTTTGGTCCCTCGCGTGCACAGAAGTGATGCTGGAGCCAGAATATGACATCACTTCGGCATCACTAAGAGGCGCAGAAGGGAGCTGAGCAGGAAGATCACTTCTCCCTTGCCGCCCACACTGCACGCCCGCATGCCAGCAGCTCATCCCAGCAGCCCACTGGACCCCACGCCAGCCGCTCAGCGCATCAGCCCCACTGGACACCAGGGAAATAGAGATTCCATGCCAGCAATCCCAATGGTAGGGAGGCTGGGTGGAGTGAAATTTTAAAAAATAAAGTGTGTGTGTGTGTGTGTGTGTGTGTGTATATATGTATTTGTCAGTGAGTGTGTGTGTGCTTGTCAGTGAGAATGTATATGTCTGTATGTGTCTGTGAAAGAGTGTATGTGTGTCAAAGAGTATGTGTCACTGTGTGTATGTATGTCAGTATGTGTGTATGTCAATGTTTTTTTTTTTTTTCTCAAAAATTCTTTATGTTTGCTGTGTGTGTATATACAGGCAGGCCCGCCTCGTCACAGCAGGCATTTCAACATATAATAAACTTGCATTTTTTTTTATACTTCTAATAGACTGATCAGATACTCGTGTCTAACATGTCTAATTGTTAAAGAGGGTATAGGCTATACCTAGTCTTACGAGGCAATCACATGTAAACGTGTTTTGGACAAGTTGAGAGGCATACTGAAGCAGCTAGACATGGATTATTATTAAATACAAGGGTTCAAGAGTAGAGGGCATGGTAGAGGCAATTTGCAATTATATATGATATTACTACAGAACATGCTAGGTGGTCATGCAGAGAGGTATGCCACTGGAATTATTCAATATACTATGCTGTTGCACCACTGTAAGTGACAAACGATATCAAATAAATTAACTTTTGCAGAGCATAAAAAGGCAAGTATAGCAAGCCAACGTCCGCCTTTGCAGGTAACTGGTTGCTACAGGCGATATGAGTGCTGCCAAGATCATCCAACTCCGCTGGGTGGTAAGGGTAGGCTTCTGCTAGGAATGTCTCCACGTGAATCCGCAGGCTGGAGCTTCTCCAACTCCAGACTCTCATAAGTGCCGACATCCTCACTCCCAGGACCTGAAAGCTCTTGGCCGCCTGCTCCGCGGTTAGCATGAGGGACTGAAAAATCTGAATGTAGGTGTTGCACAATGTGCAGCACAGACATAGTTAGCATTTTAATGGCCATCTGAGTGACTGCCACTAGAGGTGTCACTAGGCAGCAATGTAAATACTGCATTTTTCCTGAAAAAGCAGTGTTTACAGCCTGTCCCTGCAGGCTTTTCAATGTAGACACCATAACCACTACATTAAGCTGTAGTGGTCCTGGTGACTATAGAGTCCCTTTTTTCTTTAAAAATAAAAAGCTTTGTAAGATTAGAAAAAAAACGGTCTCCTAACTCTTTTAGCTGGCTCCTAGATTCAAAGCAAAATTGTCAAGCCCTGTTTATAATGTACAAATTCAGGATGCAAACAGGATTTCAATTTGTGCTTAATAGGTGGATTTTGCTGGAAATTTCCATAAGCTCAACACACAAAGGAAGCCTACCAGACAAATTACAAGATTGAATTTTCTTTATCTACAATCCAGCTTTTTGTTGAGTTACACGTTCTTGAATGTCAAAAAAAAAAAAAAAATAGGATCTAGTATAAAAGTTCTCTGCTCTAATACAGCCCTCACGGAAAGTTAATATTTCACTGCTTACTAGTGTACAGTGGCATATTTCTAGGTCCTTGTTAAATATTAAATGATATCAGATGGGAATGTTTAACGTTACCACACAATAGTATAAACTATCTGCATTGCTCCTTCACATTTTACTTATATTCTGGATTCTTTTCTAAACACAGAAATTTCCTGACCAGGGCATTTATTTATTTATTTTTGCTGTGCAAAGAAAGATAACACGTGTGAGGTACCCCAACGGCATTCCTCACCCTGATTTTCATTATTTTAAAACAATGGGGTATTTAGAATCACACGCACATTTTTGTTATTTAAGGAAATCACGTTTAAACATAACGATAGGAATTTAAGTAGTATATGTTTCTAGCTTAGCTTAGTAGATTTTCTGCACTTTCTCCTAAACGATATAGTCAGGATGGTTATCCATACTTGTAAATTGTTATACACAGGTTAGACAAGCTGAAAGGAGTTAGCGTAACATGCTCACTATTAACACAGAGCTAGAAACTGAAATGGAGTTAGACTATTAGTGAAATAACATAATAGGTGGACTCCGTAAGTTTATCGTTGAAACTTAGAGAAAAAACATGCATAAAATGACAATGACACAATATTTCTAGCAAATGCAGTGCTTATAACATTGCCACGTTGGGTGTGTAACTTCTCGGTGCAGCTGGTGTGGTGTGGGCCTGTAAGCCTGTATTATTAGGTTGTGGTTACCACGCTGCAAATTAACTTAAACAAATTGAAGCAAGCGGTTTCCTACAGTCACTGGTGAAGACATTATGAGAAATATTGCCATTAGCTCATCTTTAGTAGCAGGTGTTCCGTTCAGCCAACGCCTGCCTGGTGTATGCGACAGACCCGTTTAGGCTCTTCTGTGAGCCATGATCTCAGTTGTTGCTTGTACTTGGGATGTGTCTTGTTAAGTGACCGTGTGTATTCATCGGTTGGGCTTAGTGGTGCTGCCGCCGGTGTGGGTCTCGTTGCTCGTTGGTCCTGAACCAGTCTCGATGTGATATTTCTCTGTTTGGGTAGGTAGCTACGTACTGGGTTGTGACCGGTTCGGCTTGTCCGGGTCGAGCGGGTCCGGCGTGGATTTCTCCTGCCTGGGTGGCAGCTTGACTGGGTAGTGCCAGTACAGTTTGGAGTCGGGGGTCTTCTCCGGCCCCGGAGCCGTGGGAGAGCTGGTGTCTGTAGGCCATGGCCCTGGGAGCCGCCTTGGCCAAGGTTCAACCCCTTTGGGGTAATGCGGGGAGTCTTGCCTTGTCGCTTGGGTAGTCTCTGTGCTGTACTCCGCCAGTGTGTCCTGAACCGTTGGGGCGCGCCCCTTTCTGCTCTCGGCCCAGGAGGGCCACAATTATGTGGGTCAATCGTGTGTGTCTTAGAGTGGCCCTGAGGCGGATCCTGTGCCTCCGCTCACCCCTGGCTTCAGCCCTCACGGGGGGATATCTGTGGGGGTTTTCAGGCTGTAGGAGTGCCTGCAGTTTAACCCAGAACCGCTCAAAGATTGATGCGTTGAGGTCTCTAGGTTGGCGCTCGTTTGCTGCCCCTGGGTGGTGTCTTCTCGTCGGGCTCTATTGTGTCCGTTTGATCGGCCATTTTGGACGCACCTGTCTCCCTCTCACTTGTGGAGATTATTTTGCCTGTTAGTAGATGCGGGGTTCGGGGTACTCCACCCGGCGGGGACCGGGATATCCCCCATCGGTCCATGGGGGGGAGGGATTGCTTGGTTTGCCCTCGTGTTTTGCGCATGGGGTCCGTCCTTCCCCCGTGCCTCCACTAGGCCTCAGCTTGCTGGCGCCTTTCCCGGTCGGGTGACGTGTGGTATCAGTGCAATCATAGCAGCTACTTCGGTTGGTTCCGAGGATCCGTCAGATTTGGGTCTGCACTGCAGGAGCTTGAACAGCATGCGTCTTGTCAGGTACTCGGCTCGGCTCTGCCCAGGGAATTTTTAAGCATAGCTGGAGTTTAATTTTTCCAATTTCATGTAAATTTAAAGGGACACTATAGTCAACAGAACAACTACAACTTATAGTTCTGGTCAGTATAATCATTCCTTTCAGTAATTTTCATGCAAACACTACCTTTTTATATAAAAGGCGGTGTTTATATTACACGTCAAAAAAAAAAAAAAAAAAAAAAAAATACATCAACTCACACCAAAGTGTAAATTACATAAATATACAACCTGGATTTATAGTGTTGGAGATTCTGGAGAACCTATCATCTCCTAATGGGAATTTTGTTTTATAATAATAATAATAAAAAAATAATACACACACACACACACACACACACACACACACACACACCGTAGGAACAAAGAAATGGGGGGTAGAGAACCGGTAGCCCTCTAGTGGGTAGAGAACCCACTAGAGGGCTGGAATATCAGGCATATCTCCCTTATGTAGGTTAGCAATGTATTGTGATTGAGCTCTTCCTGGATATCTCTTCTTGCTCACTCAGATAAATGAGAAAAAAAAATATATATATTTATACATACATACATACATATATACATACATACATACACACACACACACATTATATATATATATATATATATATATACACACACATATATATATATATATATATATATATATATACATATATACATACACACATACATACATACATACATATACATACACACACACACACACTATTTCAGATGGAATATCAGCATAAGTAGTGGTATAAATATGTGTCAGCTGGATCTCCAAAAGAAGTACCCGTAATCCAGAATCCAGTAATGTTACTTCTTGTTTAGAAACAAAGAAGAGGAAGTTGTCTGCAAATGCAGCCACTTTATGGTGTACATGCGCCGTTGTGATTCCATTTATGTCTCTGTCGCGTCTGATGTTCGTCATAAATGGTTTGAGGGCAAGAACGAAGGGGGAGAGGGGGCAACCCTGTCTGGTGCCGTTGTGGATGGAGAATTCTATAGTTAGCGCCCCGTTGACTAGGACTTGGGCAATAGGCTAGTCATACAGGGCCTCTATCCATCTCCTTAAGTAAGATCCCAGTCCCAAAGTCTTGAAGAGGTAGTCCCATCAAACCCTGTAGAAAGGCCTTCTCCGCGTCGGTCGATAGCAGGAGAATATCCTTGACTCCCCCCTACTCCCAAGCATGAGGGCGAGCGCCAGAATCATGTTGTCTCTAGCCTCTTGTCCCATTACGAACACCACCAAGTCTGGAAGAACCAGCGAGAGAATATGCGTCTAGTGTTGTTTTCCCAGGATCTTGGCCAGTAATTTAATATCACAATTGAAGAGCGAGATGGGCCTGTAATTCCCACATTGCTCTCCGTCCTTGCCCTTTTTAGGCATGATGGTAATGTGGGCAGTCAGCGCTTGTTTAGGTATACATTGGCTGACTCTCACCGTGTTGAAAGAAGCCTACAGCGGTGGGTACAGACAGTCAGCGAAGCTTTTGTAGTATTATAGCGGTAGCCAGTCAAGGCCAGGACTTTTTCCCGGCTTAGCGTTTATCGCAAGTGCCAGTTCCTCTGGAGAGATGGGTTCGTCCAGTTGGTTCAATACAAATCTGTCAATAGTCTGTAGTTAGTGTGCCGTCAAGTATGACTGGATAGAGAAGCTTATAAGCGATCTCTCGCCGCGTCGGTTTGGGGTTTGCGGTAGCGGATTAAAATTCGGAGTAATAGGTGCCCACCACTTTCAGGATTTTTGCTGGTAGGCGGTGCAGAGTGCCCTGTCTATCCATAATTTTGTCAATATATGTCATCTGTCCCCTCTTGGCCAGCATTCTGGCTAGAAGCGTGCTGCTCTTGTTCCAGTGTAGGGAGAAGGCCCTGTGCCTAACCACGTCTCTGTGATACTGGGAGTGAAGTAGTGATGTCAGGTCCCATCTCAGTTCCAAAAGTTTTGCCTGGTGTGCTGGGTGTTGTGAGCGTTTGTTCAACTTCTCCATGCTGTGTATATCCCCAATGATATTCAGCTGGGATTCAGTTTATTTTTTAAGCCTTGTTGTATGAAATGCCCCCTCACCACACTTATTGGCTTCCCACCTGATCGTCAGGGATATCTGCTCTGGGGTATTGGTCTTGAAGTATTCCCTGAGAACCTTTCCTACTTAGCGGACAGGTCAGGTCAGCAAGTATTTGTTTAGCCTTGATTTAGACATTGTGGGTCTGAATAGGGGGAGGACTTAAGGGTGATTGTAACAGGGGCGTGGTCCGACCATATTGCTATCCCGTGTTCAGCGTCAATAGTCTAGTCGGGTAAAGAGTTGCGTGGGTTTGAGAAATAAAAGTGTAATCCTTCTCATCGGGGTAGTGGGCTCTCCAGCAGTCTAAGAGTCTATGTAGGAGGGATTTAATAGTGTTCAGTTGTTGGGTCGGAATATGTGATGTGCCCATGGAGCAATCCCATTTAGGGTCTAGTGCGATGTATGTAGGAAGAATTGGTAGTTTTCGGTTGGGGGCGTATATATTAGCGAACGTGATTGGTTGTCCCGCGGTCCCTTGAGAAACAGGTACCTGCCCTCTCGGTTTATTATGCTCTCCCCTTCCTGGAATGGTACTCTCTCATCAGTATAGCATTGCCCCTAGATTTTCCCCCATGGTAGTCACTGTAATAGTGCTGCAAGAAATGGTGGTTGGTCAATTTAGGTCTGGCCCATTCTCTAAAATCTGTCTCTTGAATCATTACAATTGAGGCTCTTTTTGCGTGGAAGTCTCGTAGGACCCCTGAGTGTTTCTCTGGCTTATTAAGCCCCCCTTGGCGTTGATGGTGAGAATGGCGAGGTTGGCCGGTGTCAGTGCCATTGTGTCTGGTAGCAAGTGGTCATATTTTGTTCTCGGGGTCGGCCCTTACGGTCTATATCTGGGGGTTATTAGGGTGTGGTATGGGGGGTGGAGGAGGGGAAAATGTAGGTATAGAAGAGATAGTGAGAAAGACAGAATGTGTGAAATTACACTGGGCACGCTCACATTACTATAGATGCTTCGTTCTATGGGGGTATTGGGAGGAGACCCGGAACCTTTATGCGGCTCTTGTTTGTGACCGATCCCTCAACTGTACTATACACATTTTATTTTTTATTAATTTATTTTTTTCCTATTTGGAGATTATAGGTTCTCCAGAATCTCCTATACTATAAATCCATAATTATGTAATTTACATTTTGGTGTGACGTATTTTATTACATTTACTATTTTTTCTTTTTTTGTTTGACGATTAATGTTTAAGTGTTGGTGGGAATTCCATACGTTCTAGGTTGAGTTTATAGTGATTCTCTTTTTTTCCTGCACATTGTTTACATTACAGCCTAGGGATATCTCCAGTGGCCACTCCTCAGATGGCTACTAGAGGTGGTTTCCTAGGACAGTATAACCCAACCATAAATCCTCCCTTCAAACCTGACTCTTACGCTATTTGTATTTTTGTTTCTTGTAGCAGAGAAATTCAGTTCCAGTCCGGTTGAGCTATTCCATGTGAATCTCGTTGCAGCAATGAGATCCACTTGCAAACAGGAAGGATGCATTCAGTTTCATTTGGCGCCTAGTGAACCACAGAGGAATTTTAATAGCCGATTAAAGGAGAATGCAAACACCTGAAATCGCAAAAGCAAATTCTGTTCCATCTATCTCCTAAAAAGTTCTGTGAGAGCCAAAGTCATGGCAGTGTGTATGCAAAGATGGAGAAGGAAAGAAAGAAAAAAACTAAATGGAGCAGTCAGTAAATGTATAGCTATGAGTAATGCACCAGCAAAAAACCAAAACAACAACTGGCCACATGTTTTCAAAGATTGAATCCTGGTTGGCAGAGTCACTTCCTGGTCAGGGTAGTGCTCCATATAAATCAGATGCTTTGCAGCATTATGGCAGATGTAGTCTAAAACATCTAGAGTGCCAAAGGTTGCCAATTTCTGATGTAAAGGAGGCAAAACTGGGAAAAAGAACTCTAAATTCTACGTTTATTTCTTTGCATTCTAAGGCATTTATAAAGTAATACATATGGTGACAAAATCGTGTAACCAGTCACTTTAAAATTAACTGAAGGCAACACCCTAATCTTTTTAAAACTACACTTTCTTCTTAAATAGACTATGGCTGCTTTCACTGTATAAACACAAACAGTTCAGTAGAAGGATTAATTTTAAAATGGCAGTACAAAATCTTTATAGGTGGCGTGACATCAATACAAAAATTCACATACTATGTGTACTGTTTTTTTTTTTTTAACATTTTCTTTCCTTGACAACTCCCCTGTGTGGCCTGTTGAAGTCTCCACTTGCTATCATCCCAACCCAAATGAAGTGATTTCTCTGTAATGCATTAAAAACCCAATGGTAAATCCACCACAGAATGTTCCTTTAAAGCAGGCTTGCCCAAATTTCGGCCCTCCAGATGTTGCTGAACTACAACCCCCATGATTCTCAGCCTATCCATTTCATTCACAGAATCATCGGAGTTGTAGTTCAGCGACATCTGGAGGGCCGTAGTGTGGAGAAGCCTGCTTTCAAGGATTACTATAAACCTTTTTTACAATATAATTGGGCACTACAATGTCAACCCCCATTTTCTAACCCCCAAATCCTGGACCCCACCCCCCCGCCCCCCCACAAAAAAAGTATTTTGACTCTAGAACCAGGTAAAGCTCTCCTTCAGCATTTCTACTCCCCGTCCCTACATTATTCCCCATCACTCATACCCTTCAGTGGTCCTAACAAAATGAGCTCAGAGAGTTTGGGGAATGGCAAAGGAGGAATTTAAACACAAAAACAACAATTTAGGGAGGTAAAACACAAAGTGTGGACTAACAAGCTTTCCCTTGCAGGTGTTATCTCAGCAGCGCATGCAAGGTTTAAAGCTCATTACAGTCACACAGAATAAATACTAGGCAGCCTAAAACAGAGTTCTGTGTGCGGTTAGCAATTAGCTCCTAGCAGAAACGTAGAAATAAAATTTTATGCTCAAATTCCCTTTATCATATTACTGTGCAAGAATGAAGAATCAAAAAAAAAAAAAAAAAAATTCTACATATGATAGTAATAGGAACTACCATCTACCCATGACCACTTTGAAAAGCAAAAAAGAGATCATGGGTGTTGGAGAAGCCCTTTAAAGAGTCACACAAGTTTAGTAGATACACCCAATTCATGCATGTATACATTAGGTGGTATATATGAAAACTGTTTGCAAAGACAACCCTTGTATGTCCTCCCCTTTTCCCACTGGAATACATGGGGAAACAGCCTATCAGAGGCTTCCCATTGAGCACTGAGGAAAGTGGACGATGGTCTGAGATAAGCAGGGGGTGAGGCAGGTGCACTCATGTAGAACACACTTGTCACTTCCATTGTCTCAGAGGAACTAATGAAAGCAGGAAGAGGCTCCCACCCCAGTTGTTTGACAGCCAGTGGGGTGTTTTATCAATTATTTATAAAAAAGTGTATTTGCTATAGAAATCAACACTTTTCTAAACTGTCATTATTATTGGATACCCCTCATCCATAGCAAGCTGAACTGCTTTATGGATGTGGAGTTGATAATTTAAAAAAATGTCAAGAAACTCTTTGGCCAAAAACACTGGAACTAACCAAGACCCAAGAGCTAGCAGTAGTACTGTACAAATATTGGTTTTATTTTATACTTACAGCCATAACCTGTCACGTACCTCAATAGCAGGGTAATAGTTGTAATTCCAGTACCAAAATGTCTTTGGCAAGTATCCCGGTATAAGGTGATGCTCTGGAACAAAGGGGTGGAATGTTTCCCTTCCACTGGTATCTCTGGAATCTCCAGCCACAACATTAATAGTCTCCATACATTTACCCAAGGCAAGATCTTCAACTGATGAGCTGTGTGTACATTTCTCCTCCTTGAATGCAGTCACAAATCTCTTTAAGGCTTCCTTACTGAGCACATAACCAGCCCCCCCACTCATATAGCCTTGTTTCACATAGGGTTTGAATCGTCTTCCAAAGTAAATAGGATCATCTGGCTTGTGTTTTGACAGAAGCCACCTCAGATTATCCAGAACAACATAAGTATCGTCATCAGCTTTCATAAACCAATCTGCTTCATCTAAGTGATGATCGTGGACATACTGAAAGGCTTTAATAGTCTTCCAGTAAAGCTGGTCCCGACCTTCCTTAGTATCCAACCCCACCGTGGGGAAGTCTTTGTTCTCTTCAGAACTCATGTATAATACTTTATTACACCTTTGGGCCCAAGTGGCTTTAACATGCTTGGTTTTCTTTTCAAGGTTCTGAGGTCCTGTCATTACCCAGCATAGGATTCTCACCTCCTTGAAGAGATCATCAGATAGGTGTGTATTCTCATCTGGAAAGCAAACAAGTAGAATACATACTAATTATATATTCTTTCATGAATGTTAACTAAAGAGCTGATTAAACAATGTAGTAATACATATGTACACATAAGTTTTAAACAATGAAGATGGGAAGGTATTAGGGATCGAGAAACTTTTGGATTTTATAGTGCCAAGAAAACGGCTTTGTTTTCCTGGCACTATAGAATCCCTTAAGCATGCACATAGACTCTATATTGTGTAATTAAAAAGAAAAGGCCTAATCAAGACAACAGCAGCCACTCCATTTAATTAACCCACACCAAATTTGAAAATAGGAGAGGCAAAGGGATCCTCCATCCTTAATAAGGGATTCTTGGAAAAGTTGAATTCAGTAATGGAAAGAGGGATTGATAGGCAGACAACCTTGGATTGGGATGGGTGAAGGCATTGGGTCACTTGTTTTCAATGATTAGTCCTTCTCAACAGGGCATGGATTAGGGAAACAAATGGGGAATAATTAAATTGATATTAACAGACAACACTGCAGATGAGGTATGAAATTACTCCATATGGGCTAAGCCGGATAGATAAAAAATAAAATAAAATAAAATAAAATGTGATTAAATCTGAAGAGTTTTTTTTTTTTTTTTAAATGAAATTTCACCTTAAAAAAGCAGAGATCTCTTTTAAACAAATGCTACAGCAAGTCTAGCCTTTGGTAAATAACTCTGGAATATAATAACTGTAAGCAATTCTATGAACCCTTAAAAAGGATAATGGGCCAATATGTACTTTCAAGCAATCTAACCTGAGAGCATAACCTGTTCATACAGTTACAGGATCTGGAGAACTTTGTGTTTTTGCACATAGCTTCTATAAAACAGGCTGCTGCAATGATAGGTTTATATTGCACTTTTAACTAGTCAGACAATAATCGTTATCTACTTTCTCTATGACCAACGTCTCATTGTGCAGCTGGTCTTCAGAAGTTATAAAAATAGTGACTAAGGGAGGGTGATGTGTGTAAAAAAAAAAAAAAAAAAAAAATTTATGACCAGCTAGCAAGAAAATATTTGCATTACTTTTCCCAAGACACTTATTCACTAAACAGTGAGATACAGGAAACCAAAAATGAATTCAAAAAGTTGAAGTTAAATTCCAAGCGGGGAAAAAAAATATTCTATGCTACATTTTGTTTTACAATTCATATTAAACTGATTAATGAATAAACCAGAATTTTATAAAGTTACAAATGAAGGTTGGTTGATTTTACAGCAAAGATGGGTTAAAAGCCATTCAGCATGGCCGAATCCTACTAAGCCACACAAGCACGGTGAAACAGTCTCATTATGTATTGGTGACAGAGGGGTGGGGTTTGGTGGCAAGAGAGGCTCAGTTTTGTCAAAATGAAAAATGATTTGACAAAAACTAAAAATCGACAGCATCATAACCAATGACAATTTATTGTATTCCTTTCAATCTAAATGGTAGTGTCACTTTACCTTTAGGGTTATAAAATGTATACACTAGTATTTTATGTTATGGTCAATTAGTATTATTCCACATAAAATATCTCATTAACAATTAGAGATGACTTTACCCAGGCATATCTTAGCACACACATTGTGAGCTAAATTACACGTTTTAGTCAAACTTGCAACTTTTCTATGTTTCTATGTTAAAGGCAGTTCCGCATTCACTCACCCCTGTTACACGTAGAGTAAAATAGTTCAAGGGATGTAAGTGGAGAAGTGGGAAAAAAAATAATTATATTCTGTGTGAGTGCATTTCTTCAATAAATGTCAAAAGTTCGAATAGCACTGGATGAATTGATTTGCATGACATGTTCTGGAAGTGACAGGCATTCAATATAAATGACAAATAAAAAAATAAAAAAAAAGGGACCACCACAAAAACACATTTCATATATGATGGCAACAGTCTTCCAGATTCCAATGTTAAACAAAAACAAAAAGTAGCAAAATTACATTTTACAGTATACAGACAACAGTGTATCATTATTTAGCATATAACATTTTCCCCTTCACACTAAGCACTATAACTACTACAAACTAATGTAGTGGTTATGATGCAGTAAACGATTAATACAACCCCCTGTTTCTGAGTCAAGTCAGGTTTGACTAAAACGAGGAGTTCCCAGAGCCTGGCCCCTGCTTGAGAAACAGATGCAGCCCAATACTATAACTTGGCATGTCCTTTTTATGAGGCTTAGACTGCTTCTTTAAAAATTAGTCCTCAAAGACAGACAGGCTATGTGAGAAAGTGCTTTCTCTGAAGCTCCTTCAGCACTGAGAATTCTAAAAGATGTAATGATGGTAAGCTAAGTGAAGAACACAAACAATGGGTTTCATCACTAACAAGCAAGGTGCTAGGCAAGATCCAGTTTACAAAACATTCCCAAAAGAGTTATTAAAAAAAAAAAAAAATTAAAAAGTCTGCAAGTCACTAGTTGACTAGACTCCATAAGCAGTATATCCAACGCCATCTAACTGAAAACGGAGTTTGCGAACGTCAGACCAATGCAGCTAAAGTTTATAATTTTTCAAACTCCTCTATATTGACATTTCCAAAACTTGCATTTACAGTGAACAAGTTAGACAGACATGCCAGCAATACAGGAGACCTAATGACAAATGGTACATGCCATTACTTTCTATAGGAATGTGAATACATTATACCATCTCCTACAACCAAGTCACTGTTGGCACTCTGGGTATTTTGGGCTATGTTTTCCATGGTGGTTGAAAAACTGTAAGAATAGCCTACAAAAGAAAGTTGACCTTCCTCTTTAATTTTATATGTATACAGTAAAGTAAGACTTCTAGTGAATGTGAATTTCAAATTTTAAGACCAAAGTATCAGAGCTGGAAGTACAACTAGTTTAGAGCATGTTTGCAGGACGGCTATTTTGACCTTAAAATTAGAAATTCACATTGAATTCTTACGTTTGTGAATAAAGTCTGCTCATTTGAGAATTTGAACCTCTTGTTCCTGATAACATTTGTAATTGTTAATTTTTTTTATTTTTTTTGTCGATCTAAAAACCTTTGTAAAATGTCAAAAAGGTTGCACTATATCCTGGCACATTGCAAATAATAATAATACAATAATAATATTATTGTAAATAATACAAAACATAATAAGTGACTACAAACTAGCTATGGCAAAGCATAAAAGGGACTGGAGCTGTACAACAAGTTTCAGCCTTTTGGAGAGGGGGTGGGGGGTGTATAATATTTTACTATAAAGTTTCAGCCTTTGGGAGAGAGAGGGGGGAGGATATTTTATTTTAGAGTTTCAGCCTTTTGGAGAGGGGGTGGGGGGGTGTATAATATTTTACTTTAAAGTTTCAGCCTTTGGGAGAGAGGGGAGTAATTTATTTTAGAGTTTCAGCCTTTGGGGTGTGAGTGTGTGTGGGGGGGTAATATTTTATTTTAGAGTTTCAGCCTTTGGGAGAGAGGGGGGGGGTAATATTTTATTTTAGTGTTTCAGCATTTGGCAGAGGGGGGTTAAGATGAAACCTTTAATTTATGGCATTTTATTACCCATTACCTTTGTGCTGCTTGGTGTCAGCGTTGAAGTTCATCTCCCCAGCCAGCTCCTCCGCAGGGGCCTCATGCTCCTCCACATGCCTGAAGTGGGGGTCATTGTGCAGGACCCGGGGTTTGGGGATGTCCCTCTCGTCCAGGACCAGGCTGAAGATCACATAGCAGCAGATGAAGCCGATGGCCAAGCCGACGGCGAATGTCGCCAGGCTGAGCACGGACTTAGAGGGAGCCATGTCCAGGAAGGATGACCCTAGGACTGGGGGGAGAGAAGGTAACCGGTCATTAGAAGGGTCCAGCACACCTCCCCCTCGGCACTCACATCGCTGTCAGGCAGCCGGAGTCACACACGGTTCGGCCTCCCGCCCCTACAGTCACCGACTGAATGACCGAGCCCAAGGCAAAGCCGGCGGAGTGGCTGGCAGGCCACGCCCACCATGGGATTGCCGGTGTTCTATCAGTTTAGTATACCCCGTCAGATTGCTATACCTACGTCACTTCCGCGGAGGGGAATCAGCTGTCTCCTGTGCTGCACATGCGTGCTAGCACTCCTGCTACTCCTCCACAGCAAGGTCCTGGAAGGTAAGTAAAACTAGTTTTACACTGTCATTATAGTTAGTGCATTCACTAAGCTTAGGACATGGGACATTTAGGGTTAATGTTAGGGTTCAAATTAGGGTTAGGATTAGGGACTTGTTCCTATTTAGTGATATTTCACTTTAGGGGAATATCACTAAATAGTGATTTCTCACACTTTATTTTAACCCTTACCCCAAGGGTTAGGGTAAGAATAGAGTGTGAGAGAGGTTAGAATCACTTACCTAACCCTAATTTGTACCCTCACTTAACCCTAAATGTCCCGTGTGCCTAAGCTTAGTGAATGCACTAACTATAATGAAAGTGTAAAACTAGTTTTACTTACCTTCCAGGACCTTGCTGTGGAGGAGTAGCAGGAGTGCTAGCACGCATGTGCAGCACAGGAGACAGCTGATTCCCCTCCCCGGAAGTGACGTGGGTATAGCAATCTGACGGAGTATACCAGACTGATAGAACACCGTCAGACAGGGAAGGGTTAACGCGCTCACGTGACAGCGGCTTCTCCCATCCGTCACATGGCGTTCTATCACATTTCCCTACCCCGTACAAATTCACTACCCGCGTCACTTCCGGGGACGCGACCGCACCGGACGTGACGTTCATCAGTTGGGGGGCGGAGAGAGATGGATAGATTGCCGCGCTGCACAACAGCATGGGGCAGGGGAAGTTTACAGGCAGAGCTGCTGGAGAAGAGGCCAGCTAATGCTAAACTGACCAGTTGGGCACCCATAGATACACCACGCGTGCGCATCATCGGGCAGGGAGCGCTCGCACAGCGAAGCGCCATCCGATCTCCCACACTGCGCACGCGCAAAGCCAGGCCGCTCAGCCAACACACACAGAGACAGCGCATGCGCAGCATAGGGATAGGAAGATCTGATGGTCACGTTCACTGTGAAATCTCCCACACTGCGCACGCGCAAACACAATCAGCTGTGGCTGGCCTGCGGACAGAGCGCGTGCGCTGGACCGGGTAGGAAGCGCTAACATGGTCAGTTAGCACTGCGCCTCCCTGAGGACGTCCAGCGTCAAATAAGTGTGATTTACTCACTGAGAATAGCGGAAGCAGCCTCTTGTGGGTGTCAGGGAGACAGCCACTAGAGGCTGGATTAACCCTGCAACGTATGTTTACAGCTGCAGGGTTAAAACTAGGAGGACCTGACACTCAGACCACTTCATTGAGCTGAAGTGGTCTGGGTGCCTAGAGTGGTCCTTTAATTTAGATTCGGAAATTATTGTTTATGACTTTTTTTATTTTATTAATAAATCCCTTTTAATTTTATTTTTTTAACTCCCTAGTGTGGTATTCTTATATATGCAAATCTCCATAAAAAGATACCAAACTAGGGGGATATCTACTAAACAGCTGAAATACCAAAATGAAGAAAATCCTTTAATGTATTTTGCTCTTCCAGTTGTTTAGGTAGCTCACTAATCTTCTATCATTATGTAAGGTTGCCATAAATAAGGATAACACATCAGGGAGCTAACTATTAAACAGCTGAAGGATCACCATTAAGTAAAGGGCTTTTCTTAATTTAGATCTTTTAGATGTTTCGTAGATAACTTGCTAACGAGAAGCGTCTGATTGATCATTTTCCCAGCACAGACAAGTGGATGGCTTTTAAAGGCTGCAGTTAGACGTAAGCTTTTTTTTTTTTTAATACCTCCAATGAAAACTTGCAGCAAAAAAATGCATGTTTTAATTTTGGCCCCTGACGAAGGTGCTCCTCTATAGCACCGAAACGTACGTCGGGCATTCTTTCTCCTCATATTATGTATATGAGCACTGGGCATTGGTGACTGTAGCACCATGATTTCTATCTAACACTTATTTTTACTTTTTTACCCTTTTTCTATGCCTGTCTAGTTAGATTTACAGGGAGAGAGGCTTTCTTAATTTTAAATATCAGTCTGTTTTTTTAGACTGAATACTGACTACATTTCACTTTCCATCTCTCCCTTATATATCTATTAGCTCTATTGTGAGCCTTTTTGTTATACCTACTACTGACATTTTTAAGTGGGGAACTTTGTTGGGGGTCTAGCCATCTGTAACCCATACCCTTCTAGTATTTTACAATAAAGCTGATAACTAGGGTTGAGGCAGGACAGTAGATGGCAGATATTTAGCCCCTTATATATATACCCCCCTTTTCTTTCCTGGCATGGAATTTGAGTCACACTTGTATATACTTCATTTGATTTTTTCTGCTCTTGGGTCTCTAGATATATTTATATTTTTTTTACCATTTTACCATCAGGTTCTAGATTACACTCGATCGCTATAGATATTTCCAGATATGTGGTTAGTCCCTAGGACATAGGGAGACTGACTGCATTTGCGTAATATTTCTTGTTCTTTAATTGGGGTATATTTACTAAATTGTATTTTATTTTAAATTCAGTTTTAGAGTGTAGTGTTCCTTTAATTGTGTAACATAAAGCAAAGCGCATACACATGCACTCTCTCATCCATAATTTTCACAGATTTCCTTTTAACTGTTTCTTTCCATTTTAACCCAAGTCCTTGTTCTTAGTCTTGCCTTTTACTTGCTTTCCACCTTTATGCTTTTTTTCCTGACATGTAATTTTACCACAGGATCTACCTTAAAAAAATATTTCCTGTCTTTTTAAACACTTCCTTTTACTTTTTTTTTTTAACCCAGTATTTACCATGTTTTTTAACTTTTAACCCGGTCTTTTTCTTAACCTTTCTCGGTCATCCATCTTTTCTTACCATTTTGTTCAACCCTGTATAACCTTACCTGTTTCTTGTTTTACACCTTCCTTGAAAAAGTTGAATTAACCATGTCATCTTCTGCCTTATTTTTTTTTAACCCTGACATTTTCCACCTACTTTTTTGAACCCTGCTTTTATACTACTTTCTATTGTAACTCTCTTAATTTCCCCGGGGTACATATTCCTGACCTTACCGCAGTCTTTATTTATTGCAATGCACCACACATCTAAAATACCAGGGAAAATAAGTATTTGCCAACATGTGGGATGAATTAAAGAGTCATATATTATATTGCAGTGTACTGTATGTGATTCTGGAGACAGCTGCATTATCTTATCAGTTCCTGGGCTGGATTCTCCTGTTCTCTCCCTTACAGGCACAGACAGTGGTACCCTCAATCTCCTGTCTGTGGGTGAATATGCTACCCATGTCTTTCTGCACCATGTCATTGAAGAGGGAACTACCAATGGGATGCAGCCACCCCCCGTCAATCTTTGGAAAGCTCACACTGAAAAGGGATAGGTGCTGTGAACTGTGACGGCTGCCTGGCGCCCCTGTTGCCACGGAATACTGTGTGACTGTGCAACTCGCACACTTCAAAGGCCAGCCATGATTGCTGGCAATTTTCCTAGCATGGTGTATGGATGGTATTAGAAGGTGATTTACTTTTCAATTATAAAATAAAAAACACAACCCCCCCCCCCCCAACTTATGTGAACTGTGACAAAAAAAAGGAATTAAAACAAAAATCCTCCCCAAATGTTGCTACCATATCAAGTGATGTCAAATTCACAGTCATTGTACCATACAAACAACTGTTTGCTTAGCTCAGGTGTTTAGCAATTCCATTCATCAAATTGGCACTTCAAATGTTTGAATGTTTAGGTCACCATGCTCCTGTATTTTGTACTTTCAACAGACTTAAAGGAACACTACAGTGTTAGGAACACGAACATATTTTTTATTATCACTCCAATGGCCATTCAAGTGGCTCACCTGCAAGGCAAACCCGCTTAGGTGAGTGCTACATCAACAATTCACCTTGCTGCTTTCAGCTAAAACAGGTAAAATATCTAATGAGACAGAGAGAGGTATTTGTCTAAACCCCTACACACTTATTAACCCTTAAAAGGAAACACATGGGGTAGGTATAAGCACTGTAACTTGGCTGTGCAATTCAAAAGCAAATATAAACTTACAAAATTAAGCCCTGCGCTCAAATTCCCACTGCTTCTGGGTGGCAGCAATGACTATAGTATGCATCAGTTCCAGGGATTTAACTTCCAAATGGCAGAGAAATGAGCAGTGATATTTCAGAGGCATGATCTGTACCAGGACTGTCCAAAAGGTAGATCCCCAGATGTAGAAATACAACTCCCATGATACTTTGCTATTCTGCACGCATTCTTAAGACATGCAAGGGATTATGGAAGCTGTAATTTTTAAAACCTCTAGGGATCTATCTTTCGGGCACCCCTGATATATATACTAAAACTTCTTCATTAAGTTAAACTAAAGTTGTTTTGGTGACCTATAGTGTCCCTTTAAGGCATTTAACTACTTTACTTTAGACTTGGCTAATTCCTCCTTAAGTCTGTGCTGAACCATATCTGCATTTGTGCTGTGGATTATCATAGTTCAAGGAATTACGTTTGAAAGATGCCATAACTAATAGTCAGAGATTAAGAAGTGCAGAACAGGTTCTTCTGTTGAGGGTTCAGTTTTTATCTACTGCAAAAGAGACTGACTTGTTTTTGTGACTAGTACTGTACATTCGTTAAGGCTCAGATTAAATATGATCTTATTTTACAGAATAAGTTAAATCGTACCCTTGAAAACAATTCTATTTACTTTTTTTACTTTTTAAAATGACAGTTCCACATTCCCTCAACTGAATAAACAATACTGAATCATTTACTGTTGAAAGAAGTACAGTAGAGTAAAATCTAAAATATACATAGTGCAATTTCAACTTTTCTACATGCTGTAGACAGGGCCTGACTGGGGTTACGAAGCAGCCCTGGAAAAAAAAATCTATGCCAGCTTCATAAGTCATTGTGCTATGTAGTGTGCGATTTTATATATATATATACACACATATGCACACACATCTCTATCTCTATATATATTATTGGTATATTTATTTTTCTTATTCAAAATATTAGTCCTTTCAGGGTAATTAAATTATACAATAAAGCATACTCACATACAGACACAGACAATCATACTGATGCACACAAATAGGCTCATTGACAGACAATCTCAATGACACACACAGACAAGGTTACTGGTACACACACAAATTTAGTACAGACAAACTCTGATACACACAAGCTTACTACAGACAAGCTCACTGTCACACACACTCACACGCTCACTACAGACAAGCTCACTGATGCGCACACACTCCCTACAGATAAGCCTATTGACACACACATGCTCCCTACAGAAGATCTCCCTAACACACAGATGCTCACTACAGACAAGCTCACTGACACACATATGGTCACTACAGACAAGCTCACGATCTCACACATGCTTACTACAGACAAGCTCACTGCACACACATGCTCACCACAGACAGGCTCAGACACACCCATGCTCCCTACAGACAAGCTCACTAACAAACACACACACATGATTCCTACAGACAGGCTCACTGACACACACAAGCTCACTCACTAGCAGGCACACACACACACACACACACACACAAACTCACTAGCAGGTGCACACACACACACACACACACACAGAAGCT